AATTTCTACAAGTTATTGATTTAAAAGCTTTTGTATTTCAGTATTTGTATTCGATTTGCGATCATGTTATATTACATATGCGAGATGAATAATTTTAAAACTGTGATGGTTCAGTTTTATGATTTCTCTTGACGTGAAACACAATTAGTTTTGAAATTAAGATAGACGTGCTGTAAAATAAAGAATAATTTTTTACAAAATGAAATCTTGGCGATTTTTTTAGCTGTAAAAGTAATTAACTTCTTTATTAAAATTCAAATTCCATTTTGCAGTTATTTATTCTGTGTATGTTTTTTCAATTAGAATCTTAACACTGACTAGAACGATGATATGAACCAATAAATAAAGTTCGTGGCTTTTCCCTGGGAACTGGGAACGATGAGCGTAATGAAACATAAATATTTATGACTTTTATTTATACATATTTATCATAAAATACTGCAATATACGAATTGAATGTTTTACACCATTTAATTTTAGAAGGAAAGATCAAATTCAGTAAATTCAGGTAGAGTAATAATATAATATTGCAATATTATTTTTTTATATAAAAAAACTTTAAGGTCAAAATACAAATTAAAATGATATTTTATGTAACTTAAAGATTAAAAATAAATCCCCACCAAGTTAATTGGAATAACATCAATATGTGCAAAGGCTACAACTCGATTCAGAAAAATATTTTTAAGGCAGCAACTTATTCAAAATAAAACAGATCTTAACAATTTTATATAAATTGAATTTGTAGTTTTATTTCAAAATTAATTCGTTTTACATTTGTCATGGTAGCCAACTAAAATTGTACATGTTACTGTTAATAACTTAATCTTGTAATTTGGCATAAAGATATTTACTTTTCTTTTAGTTATTATTCAAACCAATTTTTTTTATATCGACAAATAGATATAATTTTTAATACCACGTTCACAAAGTTCCGCAGTAATCTCTATAAATTAAAATTTTATTCGTATTAAAATATTTGGTTTTATAGAAATAATAACTTTATTTAAAACAATTTGTATAAGATATTATACAATTGGAATTGCTAATATAAAACAAAAATCACTATTGTAGAAATCTATACTATATATGTACCTATGAAAACTATTTTACAATAAATATTTAGGTATATTAAAAATGTTCCGCTTGCGAAATTTAATACATAATTTAATATCATACATATATTTAGTAAGTTCTTATACGTTATCTTCTTGTCTCATACTCAAAGAAGGTATTTGTTACTAAATTGAATTTACAAATTAAAAATAATCAGGATTTAATCACAATAAAGAGTCAGTATGTATTAATAACTTCGTAGACATATATATGTATATATAAATACGTCAAATGTAAAAACTCTTATAAAACATTTTGCTAAGGGTATCAAATTCAATGCTCGATGCTACTTATATTAAATAAACTTAACAAAGATTACATTGAAATTTGAATATTTCTATGTGAATATAAACCCACGTTTAGCGATAATGAGGTCGTGGTGGGGTCTGGCTCTTCAAATGTCTATCGATTTTCGGTAGAGCGCCCTAAAATGCGGTAACCTTACAAAATATACATACATACATACATACAATCTACATAACATCTTGCCTTCCTACCAAGATCTAAATCTACATTTTAAGTAAACTACATGTAACATTTTATTCATGAATAAAAATTCATATTAGTGTATGGTATGGTAAGTAACAGTCTAATAACATATTTTATGTTACACGGGAAAAATTGCGGTCGAAACCTTTTAGACTGACATTTGACATGTTTATAGAAAATCGAGAGTTGATTATGGTATTTTGTATTAAAGTATTAAGTTATTACCTTGAACATCGAAAGAACAGTTTTATATAGGTAGGTATATTGTTATAATTTAACATCACTTTAATTTTAATTTTAACTCAAAATAATGACTTAAAGTTGTTCTGTGTGATAATTCGGTAATTAGTATTTAAATTTATATTACCTCACTATAAGAAATAGAAAATTTTAAATTATATTAAATGTTTCCAACAACCTAAGTATCAATAAAGTATTAACAACGAATACATTCGGTAGGTACAGATTTAGGAGATTAATTTTCAATTCAGTTATGTGCTCTATTATTTTAATTGCCAAATAGGTACACGCGTAAATAATTTGAGGTGCAATCGGTTTATTTAGCAAATTATCCTTTTTAATGCAAAATTTTTAAGGCAATAAGAGTTTTATAAGCCAATCTAAATAATCTAATACACATTTATGATAAGATTTTAGGTTTAAAATTAAGGTCGTGTCCGGAGATCCGAGCCAACGTTAATGAGTTTGAAAATATACTCGATATTGTCGGTACCTAAAAACATTATTCACATCAGTTGCAATCTATTTTAAAACAGTTACAATATTTTCTAATTTTTTTACTACTTCTTTTGAAAATTACGTGCTGTAAAATCATAGAAACAAATTTTGTTTTTATTTCAATTCAATGGAATTTCTTGAAATTAAGACTATAAGTACGTTTAAAAGAAATCTATATAATCTATAGAAAAAAACAATACTTTTTTTAAAATATCATACAAAGCTTTTAACAATGTCGTTACTAACGTTTAACTCTAAGCGAAAAAGATTGATGCCAACAAAATAATTATTGCTGAAATTTAGAACTACTTTCACTCTCCAGAGTCTAGACTTAAGTTTAGTGAATTTATAATAATGGTTTTACAGTCGAATTTAGTTTGTGACAGATTAAAATTTCAATTAAAGAACATTCCGTGTTGAATTTTTTTGTAATAGTTCTAGAAATTAATAGAAATCTTAAATATATTTTTCTTTTGCCCGTCCTTTTTCTATTTTTTTTCGTCAGTTTAGATTAATATTCAAAATAAATAATAAACATTATAAATATTTATTTATTTAAAGTATAAATCTACGTAATGTTCTTAACCTGTACAATATTAAGATTTAATTACTAGCAAAACAAGTTATTGTGTCACTCGATTGTAGGCGTCTCGACATCCGATAGACATGCCTATGGAAGGGAGGTGTCAAGATATAATTACAGGAATCGGATTCCTTTGAGGTGTGAACCAAGCGGACAATGCAATTATGAAACAATTCTGTAACGTGTTTACTAAACTACAGGTGTCTCCTAGAACTATTAAATAATTTCTAACTATAAATTTTGTAACACGTTTATTAAATTCTCTGTTCTATTTTCATTCTATGTCTGTCGTAAAAAGAGTATTAATTTATTAAAGAGGTGCTTTGATATTTAATTTTTGATAATAAAACGAGTCTAAAATGAAGTTTTTCACACTTAATATTAAAGAATTGAGAAGTAATTAACATAATGTAATAGGTATATAAAATTCAATGTCAGTTTAAAAAGGACAAAAGACCATCAACATTAAGATTCAAAAGGAAAATGATATTTTTTATTACACAAGCGTCTGAAATATTGATCATATTTTAAATGCTCTATATGTGGTTGACATCTTAATATATTAATTAATATTCATGAATTTTAATAGGTACACCTTTTTGATAGAAATTATATTGTATTTGTGTCAACAAAAGGATCAGTGATATTGATGTGAAACTTATTACAACTCCTCAAATTAATCTATACAATCTATTGCACATTGAAATTACAACCAGCCTTATAATAAAATGAACTTCCCTAGAATCCTAGACCGGTATTCTTAGTGAATGGCTTGCGTAACAACCGACTGTAACATTTACAGGTTCAGTCACAAAAATAAAATATCGAGCTTCATTATGAATAAAAATCCATCATTGAAATGAAACTAGTCAAATAATAAATATAAATAAATATTAAAGACGCGATTTTTTAAGTCTATTATGAGAAATAGTTTCATTGCACATCTTTTAAAATACTATGCAAAAATCTTGATGCAGGTAGTATTGAGATCTTGGAAATGATAGTGTTTGGTTTAGAATTATGAATTTGATAGACAAGTTTTTGTAACCCTGCTATCAATATAGAGAAGTATTTATTTCTGAAGAATAAATAGAGGATTTTTTTACAAATTGGAATTTTAAAGGACTTTGCCATATAAGTAAAACTACTAAATAATAATACAACAATAACTACTAAATAATAGTACAACAATCAATAGCTTGATACACGAACTTAGAGAATTACTTTTAAGACTGTAAACATGGATAAAATAATATTGTATTATAAAAATCCATCTCATACCTAATACCATTTTTTGTGTATATGAATTCAATGTTATGAATATTTGTGATTCTGAACAGCTCGTCTCGCAACGTAGACCTGTAAAAGGCTCGACTCAAAATAAATGACTATAGTAAACCGTCATAAAATTGTTTGAATTCCTTTTTAATAACGGCGTCTCTCTATTCGCTGTTATCTATTTATTTTAAATGAATCTTTTAAAAAATGTTTTTTTATTGTTAATAAGAATGACATTAACATTTTTCAAGAGTATCTTCGTATATAAATCAGCAGTTTCTACTGAATAAATAAATATAACATAAACTATAATCAATTCTTTATTAAAAGTAAGACTCTTTTAAAAAATAAATAAACTTCTAACTTCTTATAAAATTGTTGCACAATCTTAAATAAAGATGTAAGTCTTTCTTATTTACTATTTACTATTTTTTAACCAAGTAATAAAATTCTATCTGCCAAAGCAGCTTTAGGAGTTTTGACCTGATCTTTAGAGCAACGGAGCGGCAATAAACATTTTTGATCGCACTATCCTAGATAGAATTCGAAATGCCTCGTATTATAGCGTAGTGTTGCTCATGTAACTTTTATCGTTTTATAGCACGTCCCTACTTTGGTTGGCAGGTAATGAAAGTTTATAGAGATGGAATATGTAATAAAGTTACCTTTATTGTTTAGTTTTTATTTTATCTTAAAAATAATTTCCTCTTTTTTGTCTTAGATATACGTCACTTGGTATCCATCATCGAAATCCGGTCAACAGATTAACCTATCTGGTGAAGCGTAGCTGTCCAAGATGGCGGCTATAATATCCAAACTAAAAAGCAGCACTGCTAGCAATCCGCCGTCATTAGAAAGCAACCCAATATTGCAGTACTTTGAAGTCGGGAAGGAAAGCAGCTGTGCTGGACCTGGACTGGTTTGGAGAGTTCATGACGCATACAGGAAGAGCGACGGCAAGGTAATTGTAGCAGTAAAACATACATCACACTTATTAAATGCGCTTTACTATTACTACCTGAAACTAATAGTAAAATATCACCTCAAGCAAATAAAAATTACTTTAAAAGTAACCTATTAAAGTGTATTGCGTGACCATATTATATTTAATGTTAGTAAAACGGTCGTTAAATTGCACTAAATTATGATATTTTTACTCTTCAATACACTTTACCCAAACAATTTCTTTAAAAGCTCTATTTGAAATTTCACTTAGTTTAACGATATTAACTATGAGCGGCGATCCGACGTTTTATTCATTCCACTATCTTGTCGTAGTCTTACGTTGACATAAAAAACGTTAACAAATTGGTTAAAGATAGAATGAAAGATTGCATTTAAATGGATAGTTTCAAAGACAAATGGTTTATCAAATTAACAAATTGCGACTCTATACCTCTTGATATTAAAGTATTAATTTTCTATTAATCTTCTTCTGTATATTTTTTATGAATTGTTTGTATTGCATTTTTAGAGTTTGACCATCACCAAAAATGTAAATTACTTCTTTGCTGAGTGTACCTTTGTATTCATTTGTTTTATAAATATGTAAATAAAATGTCATATAATATTAAAACAATACAAATATTTCAGTATGTGGAAACCCCATTTTAAAATATGATCGTCGTCTATAATAGAGAAATGAATACTAATATTTTAAGTTAGTTTATATATATAATAACAAAATAATCAGAAGCCAATACCATGTTACTGAAGCGCAAATCTCTTATAATGTGTCTAAGACGTTTAATTGATTGGTTTCAAATCCCTATATGCTCACACAGTATTCTGGGTCAAGTTGTTTTCTTGATTAAATTGATCGTAAGGAAAGCTATCAACTATGTCCTTTCGCATTATTCTTACCAGATCACGTAAATTAGTATGCAATTATGCAGTCAACCTCAATAACTTTAAGTGAATACAGGGTTACATTAATAAAATGAAAACATAAATAAAAATATAAGACTCTTTTTTAACTGTAACAAAAGAATTCGTTTGAGAGCTCTTTCACAAAGAACTGTTTTTACTGGCCATTTCTCGATAAATTTCATTTTATTTTTATTATACACAAAAAATACTGTTAAGATAAAATAATAACAATTTATTTTGTATTTTATATCAAACCATGAAGATGGTGTAATTACTTGCAGAGTAATTAATTACTAGTTAGTATATCAGTAATTGAATTACAATTTTTGAGACCATTACTATTTTTATGTTATGGGATCAATTAAATACATAATTCAATACATCATCCACAGACCAAGGGCATTCTTTTTTTAAATATTGCCAGTGATTTATTGATAGCGGTTTCATTAATTAGCCAATATTTAAACCGACAAAATCGTTAAAAATATGCTTAAATATTGTTTCCAACTTTTATAAAAGATATATAATAAGTGAAATACAATTCTACCACCAGGATTCAAAGCTGTGATTTCCATGACAGTGAGTCCCATTCGCTTAATCAACTAAGTTGTCGTGCCTGAACTGATCCGAGTGACATCATTGTTTAAAAAATATTTCACCGCGAAATAATCTTCGTTCGTACAAATAGTATAAATAAATAATTTTAGTCACTTCTTTAATATTTATGAACGCATATATTATGTTACTTTTACTCTTAAAACAAGTTAATAGGTATAATAAAATTTGCCGTTCGTTCATAAACCACTCTTAATCGTTCTATTCCCGACAAGCAAACATAGAAATTTATAACATAAAATCTATTACTCTCTAACTCCTACTTCAGTAAACGCTACTCCTCTTAGTCATTTACTTCCATTTTTTATTTGTTTTACAAAATAATTAATCAACCTTTAAAGATGTTTACCAGGAAAAGGAAATGTTAAATCAATAAATATTAAATAATTTTATAACGGCTTCAATTTTCAACTTTAAGTAATTCATATCTTTCAATAAACGTTGTACAATATCGAATTACAGGAAACTCTCATCTATAAATGATTTAGATTGTAGTTGTTATTGAAAACGATTCTGTAAGATTGAACGGTGATTTTATTTTAACAATATTTTATGAGCATATTTTCTTAATTATTTAAAAAAAAACACTAAATACTTTAGTATGTAAAAAACCATTGAGATTATTATAAAAATCAAGTCAAGAAACACTCAAGAATATCTTATTTGTCAATAATAATTTATACACATACCTAATTCATCCTTGCTATTTTAGTCGTCGTATGTCTTATGTCTTTATATACAAAAAAAATATCAGTGATTAATGTTTTAAAAATTATTTTAATAGTAAAATATAATAAACACATTTTTCTGTTACAAACAATTCTATAATCTATATATAAATATAAGACATTGCTATACAATAAAAAGTTGAGGAACACACGTCATGATCATTTTTATACGCCATAGTTTATTTGTATTTTCAAATTATTGCTAGTTTTTAATAATTTTTAAAGAAAGATCTATATTTTAAAGAAACAGCTCCCGCCGGCGTAAGAAAAACACGAAACAAAGTAGCATTTATTTTACTTCGATTTATAATAATAATCCCAATGTTAATAAATTGTCCTATTATTTAATTTTTAAAATAGCTCACAGCTATTTGAACAAAAGTATCACTGATCGATTAATTTAACTTCTGTAATTTCCAACAAAAGACAAACAGCAAATTGTGCAAGTTTGCTTAGATAATACAGAATACTACTGTATGACTTCTCTTCTATTACAAAGGAAAAGCAGTTTTAATCATTTAAATGTATATATTTTAGAGAATTCAAATGAATGAGTTGGGCATAAAATTGCCCTGATCATAAAATTATTTATGTTATTTAATATTGCTTTCGTCTCCATAATAACATTTTGGGGGAAGTATGCCAAAGAATATTATGAGTATTCAATATCACTACATTTTGTATCATATAATTATAGTGGTAATTAAAAAAGGTAATTTTCGTTCTAAGAAATATTTATGTAAAAGATCTCTAAAATAATTAATTATGTACACTTTGAAATTTGCGAGCTGATAAAACATTGACGATAAAATGAAGATAAAAAATTAGTATAAAGACGTCTATTAAGTTTAATATAAACGATCCTTACAAGTGTACATTTTGATAAAATGATTTTATAAATGAGATCTTAATAAGATTTCAATATAATCTCGTGTAATACTTCTAGCACACTTGATTTAATCTTTCTTAATGTTTCTATAACGATCAATACAAATATTTTGAATCATTACTTGTAAATTAAGCCCCAATTAGATAATATTGTGAATGATCTGATATACTCGTATGTCTATCGTAGACCCTAAATATTATTGGAACCTAAAACAAATAAAATATGATTTTATACTGTACAGTTTCAATATTTGACAATCAGTGATCGGTATAATTCAATGATTGAAGCACTTAAAGCTTATGATTCTTTTTAATTTTTGACTGCAATTATCTGGAGTGTAAAACAAGGATTCTAAAAGTACGTATATGGAACAAAGTATATTACTGGATATTTTTTTACTATTTTACCTATCCAGCAGAAAAAATGTTTTTGAAAGTTCGACAAGTGTATTTTAGTTACTCGTTTCTAGATTAAAAATGGGATTGATTGTTGAATTTCATTGGTTATTTCTAATCTTAGTGAAACGATACGTACGGCTTAATGATTAAGTATGTAGGATGCATGAAGCCGATCATAATTTACGTTATCTCCGGTGAACACGCCTATCGTTCGGTTTAATATCAAGCGTCCAATAATCCTATTGATCGTTAAGCATATTTGCGGGTAGACACAACAATCACCACGTATCGTAAGGCTTTCCCCAGAATAACTATCTACTGGTGAGCAGCTGTTCCTTGTTCATGACGATGGATGATTTAATAGAATCTATCAAACTTGACTACACTTGCATGTCATTGTGATAATCAGCTAGAAATAACATCCACGACTAATATTTATATAAATCTATAAAAGTTTTACTAGCCGTCGTTGTTTGAGAAAGTTATCCCGATGACATAGTACAGGAAAGTTTACAAGATACCACGAAAGTTAGAATTAAGAAATATTCTTAATAGAATTAAGAAAATCAAAAAAGCGAATTTATAAAAGGTAGTCGGTTAAAATTAACTTAGTTAAGTAACAGCTATTGCATTTTCCGATACTTTAACACTTGAGTCAGCATATTATTATCATCTCAAAATGTTACTATCACAGTATTTTGAGTGATTTTCATTAAAATATAATCATCATCATCATCTAAAGGTGGTAGAGCCTAGCTGTGGTGAGTTACTACAGCTCGAACATGGGCTGGCTCGACCGGGGAAGTACCACCCTCTCACAGAAGATCGGCGTGAAGTAGCCTTTACTGGCTGCGTTTCGTCTGATGAGTGAGAGAGCCGGTTGCCCTTTCCCTATTCCTACCCTTTCCTTTCATTTCCTTATTCCCAGCCCTCCCTATCCCCAAAAAACAAGGTTGGCAAAGCATCCATAACAAACATGTTGCGGATGTCCATGGGAGACGGTAACCACCTTCCATCAAGTGGGCCGTCTGCTCGTTTGCCACCTTTCACATAAAAAAAAAAAAATTTAGCCTATTGCAGTCCACTGCTGGACATAGGCCTCAAAATATAATGCTGCTTAAAAATTTATATAAACATTTATCTTACAAATTACTTATTAATGAAATAATGTGTTTTTATGTTTAAAAAGAAATTGTACAAGAAGTAGCTAAGCTATCAGTAGAAATGTACATATAGAAATTGAAACAGCAATCTGAAAATGTACTACTTAATATCTCCTACTCATGATCTAATTACGTTCCTAATTCTAGACAAGTAATGTTAAATAGTAAGGCAATATATGAGATTTATTATATATTAAGTACGCCTGTTATTATTAATATAAAGATGTGAAGTTCAGTGAGTATGGTAGCCGGGAAAACGAAAGTATCACAAAGAATAAATAAAAAAATAATGAAGGAAA